ATATCTTTATTGTATTTATTTACAATAAATGTGGTGCTGAGGATCAAATCCAGTGCCTCACACGTGCCAGGCAAGCACTCTACCACTAAGTAACAATCTCAGCCCACCACCAGCCTTTTAAATTTTTTTTTTTTACTATTTATTTTTTTTTAAGCTTTTAGGTGGACACAATATCTTTATCTTATTTTATGTGGTGCTGAGGATCGAACCCAGTGCCTCATGCATGCCAGACGAGCGCGCTACTACTTGAGCCGTATCCCCAGCCCTAAATTTTTTGTTTTGAGAGAGGGTCTCACTAAGTTGCTTAGAGCCTTGCTAAGTTGGTGAGGCTGGCCTTAAACTTGAGATCCCCCTGCATTAGCCTCCCAAGTTGCATGTGCCATTGTGCCTGGCTTCAAGTAAATATTCTTAAAGACAGTAAACTTGTTTTTTTTTAGACTACTTAAAAAAAATGGCATTGAAAAGAGCACATTCTGAGAAACTTTATTTTACTCTGTGCAATATACTATTGTATATTTTTCTTAAAATTGTATTTTTCGTAAGCTTTTAGAGTACCAGAATTAGTTGCTTATCAATTTTTATACCTACATTTTACACACCACATTCTCCCACATCCCTACAAGTTGTTTATGTTAATTATAGCAAGACACTAAGGCATGAACCACTTCATTTTGGAATTCATGTTATGATACTGAAGATGATCTGTAAGAAGAGGTGAACATGCTTTGTGTAATGCCACTATAGAGATGAGTTTAAATATCTTTAAGTTAAACAGCTCCCAATATCATTGAGGGTTATTTCTTATTTACTTTCTCTAGTATCATGTCTTAGAGCTCAATGTATTACTTAAAGAGTCTTATAAGAAACTACATTAAGGTGATCTGTAGTAAGTGGGATTGAGGATACATTGAGAAAGTAGGATCTTGGAAAATGGAAGGTCCTAATTTCCCTAATGTGTTTTTGGTTTTGTAAAGTCATTGTATTCTTAGGAAATATTTTAAGTTTTCTGGAAAGAGAATAAAGGAAGATTATCATCAAAGCTCAAATAAGGGAAAAATTAAATGAAGAAAGTAAAATGTGGGCAAAATGTCCATGTGTTTTTATGTGAACCCTTAGACTACATCTTGTATTGTGACTGTGTGATTTATTCATGATTCTTTTGAGTTTTTCTGATTTTAATAGTATTGAGATGTTACTTTCATATTCATGTGGGAATGTATATATGTGCTCATCCCTTAAAATGATGAATGAAGCATTTCAATTAGAATTTTTAGTAGAAACTAGTCTTATTATTTATTATCGTCATCTCATTTACTTTGTTTTTTTGTTTGTTGGTGACACTGGGGATTGAACCCAGCTCTACCACTGAACTACATCCCCAGCCCTTTTTATTTTGAGACAGGGTCTCACTAAGATGCTCAGGCTGCCCTCAAACTTGCCATCCTCCTGCCTCAGCTTTCTGAGTAACTGGGATTACAGTTGTATTGGGATTACAGTACCCATACCCAACTATTATCATCTCACTCATTAAGAAAGGATTCCCTGAGGCTGGGGTTGTGACTCAGTGGTAGAGCACTTGCCTGGCATGTGTGAGGCCATGGGGTTCGATCCTCAGCACCACATATAAATAAATAAATAAAATAAAAGATCCATTTAAAACTAAAAAATAGGGGCAGGGGTTGTGGCTCAGAGGTAGAGTGCTCGCCTAGCATGCATGAGGCGCTGGGTTTGATCCTCAGCACCACATAAAAATAAAATAAAGAGAAGTAAATGAAGGTAAAATAAGATTAAAAAAAAAAAAAACACTAAAAAATAGTTTAAAAAAAAAGAAATGATTCCCCTATGAGTTCAACCCTTTATATTTCTGATTTTACCTTGTACATATTAATTCCATTTTTTCTGCTGTCTAACTCAAGACTAAGACAATTAATATGTTATTATGTATATATGTGCACAGAGTACTACATTAGCTAGGTCATACTGTGGTAACAAGCATGACCTAGTTAATGAGGTCCAATCTAAGAGCTTGAAACAATGAAGGATTTCTTTTCTCTCACTACATCAGCTGGGGAGCTCTGCTTTTATCATTGGGCAGTGATGCAGGCTGATGGGAGGGTTGTAATCTTTTTTATATATTAGCAATTAAATACAGTAGCTCAGAAGTGACTAACATCAACAGTTCAAAAACTAATGTACACTACTAGTCATGTAGACCCATAACTTCAGGGAGGCCAGGAAGCATTTTACCTCTGTGCCAGGGAGACAGACAACTGAAAGTACTTGCTGAATGACACATCTATCCCAGTCCATCTTTCTAGTTGTCAGATATTTGGTCTACTGACTCTTAAAGCAAAACTTACTTACTTCTTCCCCAGGATAAAATACCTCAACTTCCTATGCAATCACGGCATTAAGCTCAAAGTCCAGAATCTCAGAGTTATGCAAGAGTGTGATGCTTAGTGGTCTGTTAGTGAGGAGATGATACATAGTAGTCTTTTCATTGAGTCCAGATGTTGCTTTTTTGATCCAGAAACTTTGAAAATAAATTGACAAATGATTTGCTGTTCCTAGTACATTAAACAATACATAGCAAACAGCAACAAAATAATAAAAATAAACATTCTTGTTTGAAAGAGGTGGAAATAGGAAAGATAGGAGTCTACAAAAATTTCTGAAACCCTTCTGAGCAAAGAGAATTCACTTATATGTTTTTTTTTGTTTGTTTTGTTTTTTTTTTTTGGTACTGGGAATTGAACTCAGGGGCACTCAACCACTGAGCCACATCCCCACCCCTATTTTGTATTTTTATTTAGAGACAGGGTCTCCCTGAGTTGCCTAATGACTCTCTAAGTTGCTGAGGCTGGCTTTGAACTCACAATCCTCCTGTCTCAGCCTCCCGAGCCACTGGGATTACAGGCATGCTCCACTGTGCCTGGTCACTTGCCTTTTTTTTTTTTTAATCCCTAACTTCATCCTTTGGACCCTCTATTTCTTCTTCCTTCTCCTTCTTTTTCTTTTTCTTTCTTCTTTCCCCTCCTCCTTTCTTTTTCTTCTCTGCCCCTCGCTCTCCTCCCTCCTATTCCCTTTTCCTTCCTTCCTTTCCTGTGACCCTCCTAAACTTTATCTGAAATGGACAGTGGGTATTGTCTTTAGGAGGATGAACACTTAGCCCATTTCCTGCCACAGATGCTTGGAAACCCATCACTCATTTTAGTCTTGAGCAGTCACAGTCTTTTAGCTCCAGCTGGTGGGTTCTTATGGCAGTATCATCTTTTTAGGCTGCTTCTTTTTTATCTATGTCCAGTCACCTCCATGTTCCTTAGCCATATCCATGACTCTTTTCTAGCCATACTTCTGATATTGGCTGCGTAGCTCTGCTTCAGTGATTGCATACTTCTTCCTTCTCTTAATTTTGAGTACAGGTGCTTTTGCTCCCATGCCATATATATGTCTTCCTCAAAATATGCACAATTGAGCCATAATTTCCTCATTTGAATAGAAAAAAGTATCACTACATCTACTTAGATGTCAAGTAAAACCTAGTGGCATTTATCATCATTCTTTTATGAAATTCCATTAAGTGAAAGTAAAATAATTTCTTTTAGGAAAAAAAATAAATCTCTGAGGTCAAAGAAATGGGAGAAAATTTGGAAGAGAAGACAATAACAAAGGCGACAAATAGTCACAAACTACACAGTCCCAAGCAGTATACTGATTTTAAAAGTTCTGATACTACTGTATTGTATGAGAGGAAAGTTGAGAACAATAAAAAAAAGAGAGAAAATTATAATGAGAGATGAGGTGTAGTGCCTGAAATCGGGGTGGAGGGGGAAGTCAAGAAATAGAAATATTCATATGTAAAAAGGTAAGAATTAAATATCAAGGAAGAAACAGCTAAAATTGCATTATTGTCTCTGAGGAATGGGACTCAAGGTAGCTAAAGTAGGGCCAATATATTTGATTTGTGAAACTATGGGTGCTTCTTTAAAATTACTTTGATTAAAAACAATCCCAAAGTTCTGCAGTAAGTATAAAATGGAATCAGTAAATCTTTTGCTGTGCCCAATGCATATGGCAAGCATTCTTCCCTTTTGTTAGCTCCACAGGGTCTGTGCTCACAGTAGTGTTCATATGACTCAGCGGTTAAGTGGTTGGCTAAACAGCAATGTGAGGCATGTCACAAAGCAAATAGTGTGCCCTTCTAGTCTTTTTTTTTTTTTTTTAATGGATGGTTTTATTTTTCTTGGAATCATATCAACCTGATGGTTACTATTTCTTAGAATTTAGACCTCTGTGCAACTGACACATGAAAAAAAAATCACCTAGTTATTGAATAGATATGAGTTTTCAGGCAACAAATTTTAAAATACTTAACAACTTTGAAGTCACTCTATTAAACCTGCAAACAATTACATCTATATCTAGTTATAAATTTTTTTAAAGCCAAGGGTATTTTCTTTCCCTTTTATAATTATATCAATTAGCTGCTTTATTTCCATGATTCCCAGGGCCTATGCCACCACCACTTTTCTTGAAATCCCACTGTAGTCGATGTGGTGACTGATGCTGAAAGAAAGCCAGCTTATTTGAAGATCCTGAGTGTTTCATGATATTTTGTAACTGGGCTGTAGACTCTGTGCAGACACAAGCCTTGTATTCTGCCTTGAAAGTGTGTCTGTAGCATCTGGGATAACAAATGCTATGCATTAGTAGATGTTTATTCATCAGATCCATACTGTGTGATAGGCACTGTGCTAAGCTCTGTAGATATCTCGGTGAACTGGATATCCTAACAGAAAATATTTGTGGACTCATGTAAGCCAGTGAACTAATGGCCCATACTGAACCATCTAACCATATAAAGCCTTGTATATGTAAGGAGCTTAATAATTTTAACTTATGTTTGTTATGTTTTTAATTTTAAGTTGTTGTTGTGATAAAAGCCATAAAAAGGAAATGGTGATATCTGATTTTTTTTTCATCTTTGTTTCTCTTTGTAGATAAGATGCTCCAAGTTCCTTGCAGCTCTCTTCAGAAGAAAATCACCTGTGCTCTGCTCTTGCCATAATACCAAACCCTTTTTCTTATGTTTTGGTGCTGTGACACTGGAAGAATTGCACAGAGGTTCCAGTAATATCTTTTTTTCATTTAAGTAATTCTCTCTGAATGGAAAAAGATTTGAGTCCTAATAATTACTTTATTTTAAAATTAATTCTCTATACTCTGAACTGCTTAATAAATTGGGCCACTTACCCATGAGCCACACAGCCAGTTCTTGTCAGGAACTGGTTGAAAACTGTGCTGTGCATGTAGCAGGGATGGCACAAGAAGAGAGCCGCCGTGGTCAAGTGCCATCTACTTTTTATCATGGTGCCAACCAAGAACTTGACCTGTCCACCAAAGTGTACAAAAGGGAATCAGGAAGTCCTTATTCTGTGTTAGTGGACACCAAGATGAGCAAACCACATCTCCATGAGACGGAGGAACAGCCATATTTCAGGGAGACAAGAGCAGTGTCTGACGTGCATGCTGTCAAAGAAGACCGGGAGAATTCTGATGACTCGGAAGAGGAGGAAGAGGAGGAGGAGGAAGTCTCTTACAAAAGGGAGCAGATCATAGTGGAGGTAAACCTTAATAATCAAACATTAAATGTATCTAAAGGGGAAAAGGGTGTCTCTTCTCAGTCCAAAGAGACTCCTGTTCTTAAGACGAGCAGTGAGGAGGAAGAGGAAGAGAGTGAGGAAGAAGCCACTGATGACAGCAATGACTACGGAGAGAATGAAAGGCAGAAGAAAAAGGAGAAGATAGTGGAGAAAGTCAATGTTACACAAAGGCGAACGCGGAGAGCTGCCTCTGTTGCTGCAGCTACCACTTCCCCTACTCCCAGAGCTACCAGAGGGCGTAGGAAGAGTGTAGAGCCACCTAAGCGTAAGAAGCGGGCCACAAAGGAGCCCAAAGCACCAGTCCAGAAAGCTAAGTGTGAAGAGAAAGAGACTCTGACCTGTGAGAAGTGCCCCAGGGTGTTTAATACTCGATGGTACCTGGAGAAGCACATGAACGTTACTCACAGGCGCATGCAGATCTGTGATAAATGTGGCAAGAAGTTTGTCCTGGAAAGTGAGCTGTCCCTTCACCAGCAAACAGACTGTGAAAAAAACATTCAGGTAGGTCTTATCACCGAGAGGGCAAACTTTCCAGGATAGAACCTGGCTATTCAGATTCATCTGGTGTCTGCCCAAGAGAATAAATACAATAGGAGGCTGAAGGGACAGATTTCACCAATTTATCATTTTAGAAGCTTCTGCTTGGGTCTTTTCAAAACCAAGGCTTAACATTGTATTTCAAAAGCATTACATTTAACTAATGCTGGACTAGTGGGAACCCAGGTACACTGGAAGGGGGATCTCTTAGAGATGATTGACAAGGACGTAAAGTCAGCATCGACTTTGCCCTGAGATTCACTGTTGTAGGACATGTGATATAATTCATTCTGGCATCTTTTCTGTCAAGGTGGGAAACGTTGAGTAAAGGTCAGGAGTAGAGAAAGCTCCCTTTCTATTTAAAAGGATGCCAGAATCTAGTGCAGCTGATGGGGACAAAAGCCATAATGACGCAGACCGGTGGAAATGGAAGACCTCCAGGAGTGAGTTTGCTTTTTACCAGTGGAGAAATGACAACACTAAATTTGTCAAGAGGCTGAGCCCAAGGGAATATGCAAACTTTAAACAGAGGCTGAGTTGGTTGAAAATGTTGCCCACCTGCAGTGGGATTTTGTAAATGCTACTATACAGTATTATTAAGGTAACAAAACATGGTATTCAAACCAGGCTGGAGTCTTGAAAGGACTGTTGTGGTAGGTTAAGAGGTGTGCTAATTATGTTAGGTTGTGTGGATTGCAGCTATATTGTTTGCATACTAATGGATATTCATAAAAGGTAAGTCTTTGAAAGTCTAAGATGTGTACAGTAGAAATATTTTGTGCTGTATTTAAGCTAACCTTTTAAAAGATAAATTGTTTTACTTTGTTTTTTGGAGTGCTGCTCATGTTAGTGATCATTTTTAATTTTTACTTTTCTTTTATTGCTTTTAATCATCTGAAGTCATTGCCTTACTTTAAAGTGAATTTTTAAAAATATAAATTACATTTGCTAAAGATCCACTGTTTTTTGGTCTATCAATTGTGACTTGATTTTGACACGTGGTAAATAAAAGAAGATTTGAGTCATGGCTCCTCTGTCTTTCAGCAACAGCCAGTGCCAGTGAGTGCCCTCTCTAGGGTGTGAATTGGTTACAGCGTTTAAAGCCAGCGGGAGGGTAATGCTGCACCCTAGGGGTCAGAATTGGATTCCTTAATGATTCATGTCTAAAAAAGTGTTCCTGATCTTTAGTTATAGAATACTTTGCTTAACTTTGCTTTTAGTTACGGGATAAAAAATATTTTAAAGATCTTTTTTTTTTTTTGGTATGTGACTTGCCTTGCTATTCCTCATCATGGTATGTTTAAACTTGTGTTTATAGAGTTTGCAGAGTCCACTAATTGAACTTTCTTCGAATTCCTGAAGAACACTGCTTTGTTCATATATATATGCTTTGTATAGATCCTGATAATCCCAATGACCTGGTAACAAGTGAAAAATCAAAACTCTGCCCTATAAGATGGCTTATGGAAGTGGTTTGTCCTTTTCTAGAGCATTTTCTAGCCAGGGACTTATCCTTCAATTCTGAATTCTCAGAGTTCTTGTTTCCTGCAGTGACAGTATTGTTCAGAGATCTTTATTTACAGAGAACACTAACTTGTTTTCTAAGTATTGCAAGGTCTATTGATTACCAAGAACTTTTGGATATTGTTTTTCTTTAACCAGAAATATTTTATTTTGTTGCTCTATTCTAAGCTCCATGACATAAGAGACTAGGCAGTGTGATGTCTTTCCTATAGATACATGTAAGACAGATCTGGAACAGGGCTGTAGGGGAAAAGGAGGAATGATGCTAACAGTTTAGAGGTTATACTAATTTCTACCAGAGGGAAATGTTTAATGGAGTAGATTAGATTTGGGAAAATACAACAAAATCTCACTTGTTAATGAGGGCTCCAAATGCATTGTCTAAGGTATAAAAATATTTTTGAACTTCTGCAGATCTATAACCATTGCTATATGTTGTTTTATTTTTATCATAATTTAAAATTAGTTTGTGTTTTCTGGTCAACGCCTATTAACTGCATAGTGCCTCACGTGTGAGAGGCAGCCACCCTGGGTAATCCACAGACTAAATAAACCTGAAGGTTCTTTTTGTAGGTACAACACTAACTTGGTAATAGCAGTCACATCTTTGATATTAGTGGAACTTCCACTTCTTGTTTTACTTTTTGCAATTGTTATCATACTCCTAAAGGCTCTCTAAAAGATGCTTCTTGTAAAATAGAACATACAGATGTTGGTGTTGGAATCTGGACTCCACGGTGGAATAGCATTTGTTTAGATTCCGACCTTGTGCTGTGAATCTAAAGCACATCCATTTCATCTGCCAGGAGGCCAGTATGGCTTTCTGCCATAAATAAAGTAAATAAAGATTATTTCTATTTATCCTGCTCAGTGTGTTTCCTGTAACAAATCGTTCAAGAAACTCTGGTCCCTTCATGAACATATCAAGATTGTCCACGGATATGCAGAAAAGAAATTTTCCTGTGAAATTTGTGAGAAGAAATTTTATACCATGGCTCACGTGCGGAAACACATGGTTGGTAAGTTTTTTCTGCTTCTTTCTCTCACACCTATAATTTTCTCTTGTTCCTTGGTGTGCTTTATGCTCTGGATTGGGCAAGATATGTGGAATTGCTGTACTTTAATCAGTTTTGACATGTTGAGACTAAATACAGCATGTTTTCAGTAAGCATCACCAAATTGGATGGTGTAGTTTTCCACACCCAGATTTCTTTTTAACTTCGTTATTTTTCTCTTTAGAGTATACTATTAAAGTGTCACCAAAAAAAAAGTGTAAAAAGTTAAGATGGCATAGTTACCTTACAGTACATCTGGCTTTCAACTTTGAGCTTTTTTGGTAGAATTATTTTGAGTGTAAGTGTGTTCTATGTTGCAGCACACACGAAAGACATGCCATTTACATGTGAAACCTGTGGAAAATCCTTTAAACGCAGTATGTCACTCAAGGTGCATTCCTTGCAGCATTCTGGAGAGAAGCCCTTCAGATGTGAGGTAAGGACTATGTCACCCCCTAGGCCAGGTCCAGAGCTAACGTTGTATAGATGGTGCAGCAATGAGAGTGAGGTGCTGAGGTACAAGGTGCATGGCCACATGCCACAGAAGCTTCAGAGGCACACTGAGCTTTGTGTGCACTCTCACTTCCAGGAAGAGAAATGTCCTATTTAACACATGGTAAACTCTCTTAGATTAACTTGGGAATAGCATGTAATGACTTATTTTTTCCTTCTCAGTGATTCACAGAAGTTGAGTATGCTCCAGTAATAATTATATGGAAAAAAATCCCTTTTATTCATAACTCAGCTGCAGAAACATAGCAAAGCCAAGTAGCTGACACGAGCAGGTTCTATTTTGAGTATGAGAAATAGACCTAATGTCAGAGACTGTGTTAGGGTGGTCTCAGGTAAAGCTTCTGTGATTGGCATTAAAAAATCTTCACTATGTCCAATGCAGAACTGTGACGAAAGGTTTCAGTACAAGTACCAGCTACGCTCCCACATGAGCATCCACATTGGGCACAAACAGTTCATGTGCCAGTGGTGTGGCAAGGATTTCAACATGAAGCAGTACTTCGACGAACACATGAAAACACACACTGGTAAGCATTTCTCAAGTACTTGTTGATAATCACCTGTGGGTCTACTTTGTTTTAAATCTGATCCACAAATTTTCATCCTAAGTGAAAAAAATTCAATTTTAAATAAACTAAATATGTAAAAATACAGATTCATAATAATTAAAAATTTAGCTTTCATAACTTTTAAAAAGGTTTATTTGTGACTGCCTTTTAACTGTGGGTTTATTTAAGGAAGTAGGTTCTTACTTGTGGTTCAGGAACTTCTGAAATCTTGCTTTGTATATACTTATGTTATTTTTCTCAGGAAAATGTTCTGGGTCTTAAAAATTGAAGGACCCTTACTACTTCAAATAGAAGACCCTCTGATATTCCCAAAGTTTGATTGGAGTTTTTAAAATTTCTTTTATTATTATTATTTTTTAGTTGTAGTTGGACACAATATTTCACTTATTTATTTTTATGTGGTGCTGAGGATTGAACCCAGGGTCCTGCATTTGCAAGGCCAGCGCTCTACCACTGAGCCACAACCCCAGCTCATTAGATTTTATTCATTAAAATTTTGCTACCTTTCAGGAACACATTCATTAAATGAAGCTAAATAGATTTTAATCACTTTGTGGTTTTAGGGACATGGCTTCATAGCATATCTTTGAACCCTGTCACCACTTGAATATTCAGATTGTAGGGAACTGGATAAATTAATAGCTCTCCACATAAATACTATCATTATTTTACAGTGTGAACTTGATGTTCTGGGGTTACCCATCTCTGCACAAATTGAAGAGCAGATTGAAGAGCATGAAACAATTTTAGATTTCTAAGTAAAATCTAATCAGCAGAGTAGCAGAACTAGAAAGAACCATAGGAGATTATCTTGCTTAGCCTGCTGTTCTTTTTGCTTAACTAGTGGTAAGGAAATTCTACCCATGGCTGGATCTCTTTAGTTCCCATTTTTCTGTTGAAGTCCAAAGAAAAATGCCTGCTTGGTAGCTTTCTTTCTTATTCAGAACAGAGCACCCTCAGATTGTAAGCATTGGGCAAGGTGAAGTCATGAAGTGACTTTATTTAGTTACATTAGACCCCCAAAATGATAATAACTGAAGCTATAGCTCAAGTAAATAGCAAGATCTATCAAAGTATTTAACAGAGTCTCATCTTCACTGGCTCTTAGACTCTTAGTTCTAATTGAATCTCTTTAGGATTCAATTTTTCAATTACTTGGCAGGAAACAATGGAACTAAACAGAACTTTTTTAATATATATTTTTAGTTGTAGATGGATACTTTTATTTATTTTTCTATCCATCTATCTGTTTATTTATTTATTTATTTTTGTGTGGTGCTGAGCATTGAAACCAGGACCTCATATGTGCTAAGCACAAGTGCTCTACCATTGAACTACAATCCCAGTCCAGAACAGAAGTTTTTTGACGGCAGAGGTTGTGTTGCATTCACAAAGAGTACTCAGCCCATAGGTTCTTGGTAAATGTTGCACTGTTGAAAATGGCCCCCAACACTGAGTTTGCCTCTGCATTCATCTCTTCTCTGCATGTTTCCCTGTGTGTCTTTCTCCTTGTTCCTTCTTCCCTCCTTTTCCCATTTTCTTTCTTTCCTCCCCTTTATCTTTCTATTTATTCTTTAGACCTTTAAATGTCTACAATATGAAATCAAAGTGTATATTTTATAATTATTTTAGTTATAAATACAATTTTATGCTAAATATTTTTCTTTGACCAAATAGGCTAGCTGGGGCTGGGGCTGGGGATGTGGCTCAAGTGGTAGCGCGCTTGCCTGGCATGCGTGTGACCCAGGTTCAATCCTCAGCACCACATACAAACAAAGATGTTGTGTCTGCCGAAAACTAAAAAATAAATATTTAAAAACTCTCTCTCTCTCTCTCTCTCTCTCTCTCTCTCTCTCTCTCTCTCTCTCTCTGTGTCTCTCTTATCTTGAAAAAAAAATAGACTAGCTGAACATTTCCTATTTTTTTCTAAAGGAATACAATTCACTTAATTTTTTATCTTTCTCCTTAAAAGGGTGATACTTACCGGGCATAATGGTGTTTGTCTATAATCCCAGCAACTCGGGACTGAGACAGGAGGATCACAAATTATTGCCAGCCTTAGCAATTTAATGAGACATTCAGCAATTTAACAAGACCCTTCTCAAAATAAGAAAGTAAAAAGGACAATTTAGGGAGGCCCTAAGCAACTTAGCGAGACCCTGTCTCAAAAATAAAACCTTAAAAAAAGGCCTGGGTTGTTGTTCAATGGTAAAGTGCCCTGGGTTCAATCCCCTGTACCCCTCCCTGAAAAAAACAAGTAATATACATTTATTAAATTATCAGAAACTATGAAAATCACAAAATAAAAATAAAATCTTTGTTGGGTAGGGTATTGCACACCTGTAATCCCAGTGATTCAGGAGGCTGAGGTAGGGAATTCACAAGTTTGAGACCAGCTTGGGCAATTTAATGAGATCCTGTCTCAAAATTTTAAAAAACTGAGATCTTATCTCAAAATATAAAAGGGCTGGAGATATAGCTCAGTGGTAAAGCTCCTCTGGGTTTAATCTCTAGTACCAAAAAAATAAATAAAATCTTACCAACAAGACCACTGTTAATGTTATAGCATGCATCCATTTAAAAAAATGTTCTAATTTTTAATACATATAGACATACATAGTATGCATATGTGTTTCTGTGTTGATATGAAAAGTAATGAAACAAGGGACTGGGTGTGGTTCAGTGGTTGAACATATGCTCAGCATGCATGAGGCCCCGGGTTCAATCCCTAGCAGTAAAATAAAATAATATAGTCTTTATACACTAGTATAACTTGCTCTTTATCTTACTACGTCATGTCATTATCAGCAATGGAATTTAAATCTCTAAGATTTCTTCTTATAAATTTGCTATAAGAGTAACTATTATTTATTATTACACAAAATGCCAGGCATTACATATATGATCTCATTTAGTCAATAAAATCTTTACAACAGTTCTATAAAATAAAAGATGTTTCCTCCATTTGGTTAGCCAGTTCCTGTTGGACATTGTTTTTTCTGTCTCCAGTTTTTCTACTGTTATAAACAATAGGGTGATAAACAACCTTGTAGCTTACACATCCAAAATTATTTCCCTAGATCAAATTCTGGAAGTAGGATTATTAGGGCAGAGAGTGTACACGTTTTTGACTTAGCAGCATGTATTGCAAAATAGCCCTTCACATAGACTCCTACTAGCGGTGCATGAAAATCCCCATTTCCCTCACCTTTTTTTTTTTCTGGTTTGGTATCAGCAGTACCTAACCACTGAGCAACATCCCCAGCCTTTTAAATTTTTTATTTTGAGACAGGGCCTTGCTCATTTGCTGAGGTTATCTTTGAAGATGTGATCTTCCTGCCTCTGCCTCCAAAGCTGCTGGGATTATAGGCGTGTGCCACAGTGCCTGGCTTCTCTCACCCTTCTAACTGTAATATTTCTCACTTAATAGGTGAGAAGTGGTTTCTTCTTGTATTAATTTACATTTAATTAATATTGTATAATTGAATATTAAGTAAGTAATATTAACTAAGATTGAACATTTTCACATGCATATTATCAGTGCATTTTCTTTTCTGATTTGCATTGTACCTTTTCCGTGTTCATCTTTCTGTTGCAGTGTTTGATTTTTCTTATTGTTTATAATAACTCTTTCTATATTAAATGTGCTAGACCCTGTTTAACATCCATATTGAAATACTTCTGCTGTCCTGTCATCTGCCTTGTAGTATTATTTGTAATACTTAAGTTGTGAAAAGCAGCTGGATGGTAGAGTTGGACAAGCCTGGACCCTGCCACTCACGAGCAGAATTACATAATATCTATAGGCCTCTAGTTTCTTGGCATCAATAAGAATGACTGGGAAGCAGAGTAGGGGAGAAGGGTTAGCTTTGGAGAAGGAAAAGGGAGCCAGGCACAGTAACACACACCTGTAATCCCAGTGACTCAGAGGAGGCTGAGGCAGGAAGATCACAGTTTCAAGGATAACCTCAGTAGTTTAGTGAGACCCTCAGTAACTTAGCAAGACCCTTTCTTAAAATAAAAAATAAAAAGTGCTGGTAAAGGGCTGGGGATGTGGCTCAAGCAGTAGTGTACTCACCTGGCATGCGTGCGGCTCAGGTTCGATCCTCAGCACCACATACAAAGATGTTGTGTCCGCCGAGAACTAATAAATAAATATTAAAATTCTCTCTCTCTCTCTCCTCTCTCTCTCTTTCTGTCTCTCTCTCTCTCTTAAAAAAATTTTAAAAAGTACTGGTAAAGCATTCAATGGCAAAGCGTACCTGGGGTTCAATCCCCAGTACCAAAGGAAGAAATTATTTAAGTCTGAATGAAACTATATTTAGAGACAACAGCATATTTTGATGGGCATTAAGGCAATTGTGAAAACTGACATTCAGTGGGCTATTTCTTTGTAGATAAAGAGAAGTGAGGCACAACTAATCTAGGGAAGCTTATAAGCCACAAGGCAGGGCTTCCTGGTATGGTATGGACATGGGGTGAGTTCAGAGTAAAGCACCTGCGATTCTCCTTGTACTGGGCAGAGTGTCTTGTGCTTAGGGACATAAGGATGAAGACCTGGTTTCTGCCCTCAAGGAGCCTACAGTCCGATGAATGATGATGGTGATAATAATAAAAGTATCTAAAATGCATTGAGTGTCTGCTATTACCACATCCTCTCTAAGCATTTCCACTTGTGTATTCTGTTACAATAACCTATTAGTTAGGTTATTATCTTTATTTTTCAGATCAGGAAGCTTAGGCTCAGGGATTAGACAACTTGTCCAAGGCAATATGACTCCAAATCACCCATTTAATGATTGTGATATAAATTTAATGAAGCAAGATAACAGGACATCAACTTCCAGGATTTGTTGGAGTGCCCAAGCAGCTCAGGATCAGAGGAAATGATATGTGCTAAAGAGTCCTAATAACATGCAAATAAAATTGCCAGTTTATTAAATTATGAATGGCAGATAGTTTTCCCCAGTACTAGTGATTGAATCCAGTGGCTCTCTACCACTGACCTACAACCCAGTCCTTTTTATTTTTTTAATTTTGAGAGAGGGTGAGAGGGTCTTGCTCAGTTGCTGAGGCTGGCCAAGAACTTAGAATCCTTCTGCCTCAGTCTCCTGAGTCACTGGGATGACAGGTGTGCACCACCACAACCAGCTAGTTCAGAATTCTTAATGCTCTTTAGTCAGACTATTCTATGCCTAAGGAAAAATATATATTAGAAGGTAAATTATAATCAGAAGATTGTCAGGAACAGAGAAGTGAACAGAGGAAGGCAACTGAATGATCTTAATAGTGAGTGCTATACATCATTGAATCCAAGAAGCCATCAGTTGAAAGACAAAATTTATATACTGCTGAGGAAATGCTATAAATTAAACATGATGTGTCATTGATTATAAAATAAATGCCAGTTTCAGAGATCTTAAAACATGGGGGAAGAGATATATCTTAATTAACAAATATTTATTAAGAGTTTGCTAAATGGCACTACTAAGATACGCAAGACTGAGATAGTTCCTGGGTCCACAGAGCTGTTGGTCAGGCTTGGGGGCAGGTGAGCAAGCATGACAGTGATTTGGCCGTAAAAGCACAGGGAGGAGTGTGAGGGGCAGGGAGACTGATTACTGTAATACTGGAGAGCATTACACAGGGATCAGATCACAAAGAACCCCTTATGCCCTGTAAAATATTTTGAACTTTATTTTAAGGACAGTGAAAAGAGAATGATTTTAAGTAGTATGTGACACAACTCTCTGAGAGTTAAGTCTGACAGTAGTGTGGAGAGAGGACTGGAGGGTGGGGAGCAGGAACATAGATGGTAAAACTGGTCAAGTGGCTGTTGTGTAATCCAGGTAACAACTGTGATGATATGAACTGTAATGGCAGTGGATGAAATCTCAGCCATGGACAAGGTAGAGTCAAAGGAATGAGGTGATTGATTGGATATTGGTAATGTGGGAGCAAAGAATCAAGGGTTAGTCTTAGATTTGAGGCTTTATACTATTTTCACAGTAGGGAATAGTGGAGGGAGGAACAGATTCGTAGATAGGCTAATTAATTTAATTTTGAGATATCTGTAAGACATTCAAGTGGAAATACCAGTAAGCAGTTTGAAAAGTAAGCTTAAAGCTCAAGAAAAAACTCAGGTTAGGTATATAGATGCATGTTTCTGATGCTCATTTGTTGGCTAGATCATTTTTTCCTTGGAACAGTACAAAAGACAGCTAGCCAGACTCTTGTTCTTTGCAATCTTTCCTGTAGATTGTCTTCGTTTATAACATCCTTTCTCTGGGTTCCTCATAATAACTCTCTTCTTAATGTTAGGTCAGCTTTATTAGGTATGTCTTTGTGTATTGATATACATGCTGGTCTAGTTACTTTGATGAAGTTAGCTGTTCCTGTATCTTCTAGCAACTAAATATGGCCATGGAATGTTATACAAGTCGTTGATTTTCTTGGGTTTTTTGTTTGTTTGTTTGTTTGTTTGTTTTGGCATGGGGATTGAGCCCAGGGGCACTTAACCACTGAGCCACATTCCCAGTCCTTTTTTATTTTATTTAGAGACAGGGTCTTGCTAAGTTGCTGAGACTGGCTTTGAACTTGCAATCTTCCTGCCTCAGCCTCCCAAGCCACTGGGATTATAAACTTGTGCTACCATGCTCAGCTAGGTGGTCAATTTTAAATGTTTAGCCAGTTATTACATTTTATGCCCATGACTTGGGAGGCTGAGGCAGGAGGATTACAGGTTGGTAAAAGGGATCATGTCTGGTATACTAAGTAGTGATCAGCGAATCAGGTGGAAAGTATTTTCTCAGACCATGGTAATTCAAAGATTAGGTCCTTCACCTCTATTTCCAGGTAGCTGTTGTGAGTGAAGAATACTAACTCTGGAGAGTCAAGGAGGAGGTGGTTCAGGGGGTTAATGAGTTACCAACAACTATGTTTTTAAAACATTCCATTATATAAGTAAATTGTGTTTATGTTAGAAAAACAGAAGATACAGATAAGTGTTTATAATAAAGTCAGTATCATGCATAATCCCATTACCTAGAGATAATCATGGTAACATCTGTAGTATTTCTTTCCATATTTTTTCTATGCCTATTTTACTTGAAGGTAGATAATACCATGCATTTTAATAATATCAAGCATGCATTTTCACAATATCAAGCATTTTCATGCCTGTTTTATTTTATGGATTATAGATTTTCATGTTTATAATTATATTTCAATACTTTATAATGTTTCTAGTGATATTTTCCATCAGGTGGATATACTATGATTGATTTAATCATTCTGTGTAACACAGAATTTGAAGTTTTAAAGATGATTGGAGGAAATGGATTTTAAAAGAATGAAAACAAGCTGAGCTAGAACTCATTCAGATGTGAGTATGAGTCACAGTGAGGAGCCTCAGTGCAGGGCTGGAATAATGGAAAGCAGAAAGATAAGAGCTACACAATAGCTTGGAAATAGCACTGACAGATGGAGCAAACTGGCCCCTTCCAACTCTTCAAACTGATCCCTCAGGGAAGCAAGGGAAATTCTGTCTTCTGTGGTAAAGACAATAGGAGATGTTAAGGTTTCTACTAGAATAAGAAAGTGGAGAGAAGAAATATGACTGTGACCATAGGACTTTGCTCCTAGTTATGGGGAGTCCCAAAGTGGAGGAAAAAGAGTAAGAAAACACATCCCTCTGTGTTTACCGAAATGCACCCGGAGCGTGAGTGCTCTGGTCCACATACAGACACAGACTTTGGAGCAAGACTTTAGAGTTTTCAATTTGGACCCTCCTCTAACAAACAGTCAGCAGCTTTCTTAACTTCCTCATGTCACCTTGTAAGGTCACTGTGAGGATCACCAAGATTAGTAGATGTGAAGCGATTAGACTAGAACCTGGTATACTGTAAGTCTCAATACATGGAGAAGGAAAGGAGTGGCAACTGAAGTGACAGCAAGTGCTTCTAGCAGGAGTTAAAGGGACCCACTAGTGTAAAGAGAAGAAGCCATGCAGCTGCAGACCCCTGCGTGGCCACCACCTTCCCCCAGTCCCCTCTCTATTAACCAAACCAAGATGGTAGGTTGCATGTGAGTGATTCGTACTTGTGACTGCTCTGATCTCTTTAAGTTGCAATCTGGGTGACTCTTTTATGACTAGAATGTAAGATGCGTGCAGAAGAGAAGTGGTAATCTCCTTTGTAAATATGAGGAATAACATCAGCACATAGTTACTGCCCAGTGGGTTAATCCATTTCCGTGTCCGTGTTCATCTCAGGAGAGAAGCCCTTTATCTGTGAAATCTGTGGCAAAAGCTTCACCAGCCGCCCCAACATGAAGAGGCACCGCAGAACTCACACAGGCGAAAAGCCCTACCCCTGCGACGTGTGCGGGCAGCGGTTCCGCTTCTCCAACATGCTCAAGGCCCACAAGGAGAAGTGCTTTCGGGTGACTAGTCCCGTGAATGTGCCGCCTGCAGTCCAGATCCCACTCACAACTGCCCCAGCCACCCCAGTTCCTTCTGTGGTGAACACACCCACCACCCCGGCTCCTCCCGTCAGTATGAACCCCGTTAGCACTCTTCCCCCACGACCCATCCCCCACCCCTTCTCTCACCTGCACATCCACCCGCACCCTCACCACCCACACCACCTTCCTATCCCTCCAGTCCCTCACCTGCCCCCACCACCAGCTCTCTTCAAGAGTGAGCCTTTAAATCACAGAGGCCAGAATGAGGACACCTTTCTGCGGCACCTGGCAGAGAAGAACAGTTCAGCACCGCATCATTAACATCCATCTCCTTAAGCACGTTCCCCAGTTGTGTTCCCACGGTGAGTTGGTGGAGCATTTCTGCAGTTCTCAGGCTCTCCTCAGCTCCCTCAGGGGCTTTGCCATTGTTGGGGTGAATCAGCAGACCCAAGGGAGTGAACCAGAAGACGACCTTGAGCTCACAAGGAAACTCATCTAAACCAGGGAACCACTGAACTAAAGCCCAATTTGCTTGCATTTTCTGATGACTTTTATAAATTTCAAATACTCAGACTTGTGGGATTTTATAATTTCATATCAGCTGATGAGGTATGCTTGCTTTTATATCCTGGACTTCTCCTCAAAGAGGGGATAGGCCTGGTCTCCTTTGTACTAATCGGGAAGGCTGTGAGATTAATCCAGAGCATTAATTGTATCACTGTGTATTGTAATGAATTCTTTTCAGCTTTTGGTGCTGGCTACAGAGTTAAGCTGGCCATGTTTCACAGTATATCAAGCATTATAGAGAAAGATGGAAATTTTCTTCTTTGTGTAGCTCTCCTAACACACTCTTTATTTTACTACAGAAATTATTTTAGAGGTTTTGTATAGACTTCTTTAGTAGTCTGTTTCTAAAATGAAATGTATTTCAATAAGCGGTGTAATTTTTTCTGTGTAGCTAAACCTATGTTGTAAAATAGAAAAAAATTTTATAATCATCAAAATGTGATTCTTAAAGATGCATATAACTTCTATAATTCAAAGTTATTCTTACATCCGTACAACTCAAAGGTGCTTCAGAGACTAGATGTGTCTGCAAGGGTCGCCAGACCAGGTTCCTGCAAAAACCGAGGTTTTGCTTTCAGAGTGTGGTGTAAGTACTTGGTAGTTTAAAAATCTCTGCTTAGCTCTCAGATGTCCATCAGCCTCACTGACATGCTCCTCTCCTCTGTGTTGCTTTGGGCCCCGCCGTGCATTGAATGGATGATTTACAGAGGGTCCTGCCTTGAAAAGTCTTGAATGAAGTTGTTCACTGTTAGAAGGAAGTAGAGATTATTTCATCTTAGTCACATCTGTTTCTTACTCTCCTTAGGAACTGTATTTACATTTAACTCTTCTGGGAAGACAAATTAGAGTCTCTGTTTTTGAGGTTGCTTTATTTTTCTAGAATTGTTATGAAAAACTAAAATAGTAAACCAAAATCATAAACTTATTGCTGATAGTGGCTGAGAAATTTGAATGAGAAGACAAATTGGTTGAGTTTTATGTTATACATGAAATGTGGATATGCCTACAACTTTGAGCTATTTTAACTTAGTTTAAATTATAGTGAGGGGAAATTCCTAGGTTTTGCTGCCCTGTCCTCTGAAGATAGTTATATAACACCAGCACCCTTAGGTGAGGAAGAGAGTAGCAACTCTCCCTCGTTTTTCTAGGTGGCTTCCTTTTTCAAGTTTGGGTGTCTTCCAATGGGCACCATCAACCGGAGCTGATTACCTGGAAGGGAAGGTTGAACAGAAGGGCTAACACAATGATTGCATTTAACTGACCACATTTATCCAGACTCATTAGAAGCTACAAATTTTATATTTCTTCATCTCAAACAACTGAGTTCCCACACCCCCTCCTCCATTTTTTTAATCTTGAAATTTCTTCATTTCTCTTTCCTCGGGCTCTTAAATCATTGCCTGAATCAGAACTCTTTTATTTATTTTTTATTTTTATATGAAATGTGCAGATATGTGTCAAGCACTTTTCTGGATGGTTAGCTCTGTAGCAGGGATAAATGGAACTCTCAACTGAAGTTAGGTCTCTATTTTTAAACAGACCACTCTCTACTAGCTTTTTGGTTTAATGTTTCCAATTTTTTTCCTTCCGATTTTGCCTTTGTCTTCTATAATGCATAGGAAAATTTTGCAGTGAGGCAGAAAAATATCTTAAGACATATTTTTCTTCCTGTTTTTGGATGTAAGTTTTAAAGAATGGTATTTTTAATATTTGTGTACATTCTTTGAGCCCCCAGGTACCCAAGCTGGTAAGGAATTTTAGTTCCTTGATTTTGACTGTTATAACTTTAGTGACTGTCTTCCCCTGACCTCAATAGTCTCTTTTGCATTCCATGACAAGTTTGTAAATCCACACTTTTATGTAGACTTTTATCATTATTTCATGGTCAGGCCTGTAATATTAAAATAGTTTTATAAAAAGATGTAAATTATACCTTAGTTAATTGGTTATACCTTATTTTGTTCTAAATAAATGTATAGAATTGGGCGGCAATTCTGAACTCTAGACTTGAGACCATTGAATCAACTATTTCATGAGGTGTTCTATAATTATATACTGGAAAATTCAGGTAGTCATCTTTGGTTTTTCATTCAAGCAACTATAGCCATAAGAAAATATCTGTTACACAGACAAAAAATAGTAAGCAAATAGCCACTACTATTCTTACAGAAGAAAAAAAAATGATTGAAAAAAAAAAAAGAATTAACATTGTCACACAGTATAATTTTTAGTGAAATGTATTGTGGAACAATCTAGAAACTTATAATTTTCTCCCCTGGATAGGTGTACCTTTCCTTATTTGGGATTTGTGGTCTTCAGGAAAACTTCTCAGAATATGATTCCTCATCAGTGTCATTTTATGTATGAATAATGAAATGCATTAAGAATAGTCATGACATTAATGCTTCTGAATAGGATTAAGCCTTAAAACATGTATGTGCATCAGGTTTAACACGCTGAAGACTCAAACTCAGGGTTGAAAATTTGGTTGGGGTCCTCTACCAAAATAAAAGTTACATATTCTATAGCACCCCATGAATTCTTCAAAGCCTATGACCTCCTCATTATCTGTTTTTGGAAAAAAAAAAAAAAAAACTCTGGAGGAGTTTGAGTCCTCAGCCCTTATCTGTACTTATATCTCAAAGACAATAAAGGCCACATTTCAGCATTATATAGATAATGAGGCTGTCTCTCATTACTATATCTTATACTGTCTTTAAAGGCTTGTATCATTGCAAGGGTTACTTATTTGAGGAAAATTTCCCAAGGACTTTCTTGAGTGGACATTGCATTTTTGGTAGTTAGTTAGCTGTTTTTTTGCATTTTCTATTCTTTTCTCATAGATTTATCATTCAAATGTAAACTCTTCTTTAGCCCTAATAAAAGGTTCCTGTTTTCTCAAATTGAGTCAGGTAGGCTTATACTGAGGTAGGTTTTTAAATCTGAATGAAGAAAAAAGGATGAAGAGTTTAAAGGCACATGGCCTCCTTTCTACATATCTTTACGATTTGATTCTTACTTTTAGCAAAGATCTCTGAATAAAACTTTACTATAGTTCAAAGAAACCTGTGCAGATCACTCCCACATACTTTTATAGTCTACCTTTTACACTAACTATTCTAAATTAATGATTGAGCATAGAAGTTTCCATAATTTTATACCATCTTTTTTTAAAAAAAATAAAGAAAAACTACACTTTATTGGAAGTACCTTTTTATTGTAGTTAGAATGCTCCCTGTAATTTGATTGTCCCTAGCCCACTAACTGCAGGCAAAATGCTTTGAAGAGGAACTTGTAAACTTTGAATTTTTTACTTCTTAAATTTTTTTTCAGTTTTTATTTTTGTTGAATGGATGTGTGAGTTTAGTTTCATTTTTATTTCACTGGAAGTTTTAAATTTTGAAAATCTGGAACAAAGAGAGAAATTCTTTGCAGATGTATAGGTAAATTTAGCCCACCTTGCAAATTTTTATACAACATCCTGTGGTAGGTAGGTTTTTATTTTCACTTTTTTTTTTTTAAGTGTTCATATTAGATGAACACTTTTGTTTGAGCTACTGTATGGAAAAGACAACTCTTGTTGCATTGCTGGTCCACATGATGATGTTCCAGACTGGGGAGGATTTAATTAAAATGGGGATAAGTTACACTTAAGCATTTTATTGGTTAACTATAAATTTTTTTTAAAAAAATCAGCTCACTTGGAATTCTTTCAACTGTAAAACTGAGCAAGTAAATATTGGGTCTTAATTTTCCTTTGCCTGCATCAAGATAGGAATTTCCTAAAAGACGATTTTTTTCAGGAATGAAGTTATAAGCCATTAGAGATAGTGGCATCTCATGCAATAACAACGCCCTAGCCGACTTGCTTTTGTCATCTGTAGCATTCATAAGAGATAATGACAACCTTCTAACCATGGACACTACCTCGATAATGCAAACCAGAGGTCCTCTCTACACTTTCTATGGAAGCCATAAAAGTTGCCATCAGAATATTCACTTTCATAGTTCTATACTTTTATACTCTGTAGACATTTTTATAGACTTTATGACCAGATCTTTTTGTCTTAGAGGATAGGCTTTGCAAGACTTTAAGGAAAATCAAACTCCTAAGTTTTCCCAATGTTGAAGCTTCAGCCTCAGTAAATTTGTTTAAAGAACTAGATAACTTACCATTTATCAAATTTGTTACTTAATTCAAACTAATTTGCAGAATTGCATATCCAGAAAACAAACTTTTCTTTCTTGTTTCCTAAGTAGAAGCTATGTTATTGTAAGAAATGACTCATGAAGTGGGTTTCTTTCTATCTTGTCAACTCTGTGGATCACTCCATGATACATGTCTTGTCCCTGTGTGCCTGGCATTGTTTTTGTTTGTTTATGACAGATAAAGTGAGAAAATGCCTCTCTGTCTAGGGCTGTGATCTCACTGCAGCTTCAATCTCTCTCACTCTGTTCTTGAGTGCCTTCAAAAAGCCAGCATCCTGGAGCATTATTTTCCTGGTCTAAATCCTACCTCTGATTATTTCATTCTGCATGAGTATTGGGATCCACCCTTGCTCCGAAGGGTTTAACTCTACAAACTGACTAAAACCTTGGACAAGAATTTTGAACACATTTTTTTGTTGTTCCTGCATGTTGTTTTCTGTTTACCTTGTAAACTTTGATTTATATCTTATTCATATATTGTGTCACTAGTGTTGAAAGATATTATCCTTATCTTGCTCTTCACCTTCTTTTCTTTCATGAGAAGCTAGATGTTCCTTTAAAGGTCCTTGAGTCTCTTTTGAACATCATTTTCTCATCTGAAGTCTTCCTGAATGCCTGCCCTTCCTGACAAAGGGATTCTGAATGCTGCTGTTGCTCTGCACCCTCTTCTCTTTTGCAAATATTTTGCAAGGTTGTACCCATAACTTTCTTTTAGTCAAAATGAATTTAAAATTGCTCTCTGGATTTAACAGAAGACCTTCACTGATTTCTTTCTTTTTAATCTGCCTCTCTCATCTCTCAAAAACCTCTAGTTACTTTCTTTTCTAGTTATTGTCATCATTAAAATTCATTTAAAAAGTATGATTGATACATAATACCTGAAGGATGTAATAAACAGAGGGTCAAAGTGTGTTCTGTCTGTGATATGGGCATTTCATTGATAAAATTTATTTTAGCAATTGTTCACAGCAATTGTTCACAGCCAAAACTAGTCTGTGCTGTGTACAGGTTGATTGCTCCTAAGTTCTCCTCCAAAGGTAAAAACAAATGAACCCTTTAAAATGAGAAAAATGATCAGGCGTGTGGCCCCCACTGTGATCCCAGGGACTCTTGAGGTAAGGCAGGAGGATGGCAAGTTCAAGGCCAACCTCAGTAATTTAGTAGGACCCTGTCTCAAAATAAAATTTAAGAAAGGGGTTTAGGGACGTGGTGGTGGAGTGCTCCTGTGTTCAACCCATGGTGTCACAAAAAAAAAAAAGAGAAAGAAAGAAAGAAATTGGGTTCCATTTTGTCAGCAAATAAAACTATTGAATATTTTGGCCTTGGTCAAAATCTTTGCTTTCTGTTCCAAAGTCTCATGTCTCTTCCCTTAAAGTTATTAGTATTCAGGTTTTCAAGACTAATAACCACATAAGGTGGGAGTCTAAAAAGGTAGCTGTTACTAGATTCTTAGCCCCTGTTGGCTGGTGATAAACAGTATGTTATTCATAAAAATTGGTTGTGAAAATTGGGTATATACGATAATGAATAAATTCAAGCTATCAAAAGGTCTCACTATTTGGAATGGAAAGACAAATTTACAAAATATAAGAGGTAGATTTCTGTATTATAGAAATCAGTAACGAGTTTATTGTTTTAAATTCTTTTCACTTCAGTTTGCCTTGCTAATGCCCATTATTGACCTAAAATTTTGCTACTTGAGTACAACTGGCTGTCTAAAGTATGTTGCTTTCCAGAGTCCCAGGCAATAAAACAACAGAGAGCCATATTTGCCTGTCATTTGGAGGAACCATGTCTTTTGAGACAGACTGCTGCCTTGTTTTTTGTCTTCAGTAGGAAACATTTAGTGCAAGTATCAAAGGGAGTTCTTGCCCCCCCCCAAAAAAAGTGTCCCTACAGCTCCAACTCCAGGTTGCTTTCATGCTATTTTAGCTTCTCTGGTAAGATTAGGGATGTTCAAATTACTTGAAAATGATTCTTCAAAGGACATGTAGGAAATGGAAACGGGGCCAAAAAAAAAGGATGGAGCCTGGATTTTGCTTACTTCAGAAGGAAATTTGATACTTGCATTGGATAGTTGGATCCACAGAGCCTGTCTCTGTACTGGATGTGCCAAAGAATGGAGTTCTTTTTGAATGTCTGGCTCCTGTGAATGAACACAACTTCCGCCCCACCTTTTACAGGTGAAAAGGGGCCATGTGATCAGAAGGACACATCCTGCATAAGACTTGAGACTGGTTCCCTATAGTTGAAAGTTGGTGGAAAGTATTTTATCCTCCTAGAACTCTTAACCCTCCTAGAAACATCTTTCATGTCTTGATTATTCACCTCATTACGTCGAAAAGAAAAACAATGTGGCATAGTTTTGATGTTTACTTCTACAGTTGTATTTTTGAGGATATATATGTGGCCTCAGAAAATCAGATGAGTTCTCAATCTTCCAATAATTCGAGTATGCATTTTATTCATTTCTGGACATGGGCATATGCAGTACTGGCTCTTTCCACAAGGGGGCAATAAGGTACTTTACCTTTATTAGCTTATAAAGATCCCTTTTTAAGTCTTTTTCTGTAGTGCTGTCTCTTGACTCAATGCTTATTTGTGTATCTTGATTATTTAAGGTATTTTCCCTCATTACTAAGACCAGTAGTTGCTTAGCCTTCATGATGCAAGCAAAGATTGATGCGCAGGTCTATGGTCCTTGTGGGTCAGGCAGTTCAATTAACTAATCTTTGTTAATAGTGGTGACCAAGATTACAAGCCTCGCCTTGAGGGATCTGCAAGTGCTGAATGCACAGCAGGAAGGCGACCCTCCTTATTTCCTTCTTCCACATCCCACCTGCAGCAACTGCAGCTTGGACCTCCTTGTCTGCTAGTCTTCCAGGTAGGGTGGGGGAGATTTCCTGCAGCAGGCACTCCTCTAGTTTAGAACTCCAGCTGTGCTCTCTCTGTAGGGTGTGTGTTGAGGCTTCTCCCCTCATTTGAGCTCATTGCAGCAGCATCTTCATAGTGAACATGTCAGTCATCAATTAAGGGAAAACACCAGGCTGTGAATATTTACCCTGCTGAGCCAGGAAGTATTTACACCTGGGAAGGCCTTCTTAACTGATTTCTGCCTGGCCCCCTTTTCCCTGCCAAGTCCGTTCACTTATAATTCCAACACTTCACAAAAAAGGAAACTGAAGCTGTGATTGGTTTAGGTATCAGGTGCCCAGGTGCAACTTGTTTTTCATTTTGTTTTCCCCAACAGTACTGAAATCACTTGCACTTTTCCTCATTTCTTCAAGAAAAGAAAATCCAGTTTGCTTGCCAGGAATTGTTTAGCGTTAGGTTTACAAAGCTTGTTGTTGAATGTTGAATATTGTCCAAAGGAGTTTGACAAAATAGAAGCTGCTTGGTCCCTGTTCTGCCTGCTAGGTCATAAGGATTA